ACTGGTAGAAGCTGTGGGATAGAGCGCTAACTAGAAAGTGAAAGAAGAAAAACCAGTCAGGCAATGTAACAAACCAAAAGGGAGCAAAGGGCCAAGAATCGATGCACCTAAATCCGTCACCATCTCGTAAGCAAATATGATGCAGGAAGCTGTTCATTTGTTCTCGTGTTAGACACCAAGTAAGTTTAAACTGTTTCATAGGAAATTTTGATTTGTCGAGCATTTTTTAAATGACCCTTGAAGATAAAAAGATTTAAAAAATATTTTTTGAGGAAAAGTTGAAAGTATTAATTTTCTTTGAAAATAAAATTTTTAAAAAATATTTTTGAGAAAAAGTTAAAAGTATCAATTTTTTTAAAAAATAAATTTTTTAAAAAATATTTTTGAGGAAAAGTTGAAAGTATCAATTTTCCTTGAAAATAAAATTTCTAGAAAATATTTTTGAGAAAATGTTAAAAGTATTATTCATCTTGAAAATAAAATCTATGTAAAAATATTTAAAGAATGAAAATATTGATATTTGAAAATAAGTTTTTTTAAAAATAATATTTTTAGAAAAAATATTTAGCAGTATCAATTGATTATTAAGTTTTCTAAAATATTTAGAAAAGTCTGATTAAAAAACTATTTTTAGAAAAGAGTAGAAACACATTTCCTATGTCAAAAGCAATCATTTACTTCTTTTCTTTTATTTGTATTGATTTTATTATGATAAAATCTACGATCCTCTGCAGGAAAATTTTTCTACATACTATTGATGAAAGATTTTCTAATTTTTTGCTAAATATTAGAGTCATTAGAATAATTTCAATTAATTAATATTGATAAATTTTAAGCTTAATTGTTATAAAAATAAGCTACCATTTCAAGTACATACTATAAACTCTGTAACCGACTCTCGAACCCTATTCTGGTTAGTAGACCTGAACCTATTCTTTTAGGGACTCTTAAACTTCGGTGTTCCCTAAAAGGCAGATTCCTTAGGTAACTAATCGTGCCTAGATAAAAAAAGATTGGTTGCGACTCCTTAAGTCAATGTCTAGCGATGGATCCTCGGATCTAGATGTTATGACAATAATTTTAAATATGTAAATAATGCTAAATGTTAGTAAATTTTTTGTAAAGAGTAAGCTATCTTTTTAATTTTTATTAAATTTCAATTATGACATTTTACTAATACTTAAAAATAATTATTTATTTATAAGTATATTGATCTTACCTATAAGGAGATGAGATGGGGATGGAAATTTAAAGATGTTAAGGCCATTTTAGTCTTTTGTCTTTATTAACGGTATTTTGTTTAGTTAATATACTAAAATGTTATTTATCACTTATTTAAGGGCATTAATGTAATTTTATTTTTTAATATGAGTCATTTTGAAAATGTAGCATATATATTTTTATTATTACTTTTTTGTAGTGAGAGATGTTGATTTAGGAAATAGAAAAGAGAAGGAATGAAAGAAAGATAGAAAGAAAGAAAAAGAAGAGAAAGAAAGAGTAGTCTAGTGAAGTGAGAGAACTGTGGTCTAGTGAAGTCTAGTGTGAGGAGAGAATAGGTCAAGAGCGGTAGGCAGAGAAAATGTGAGGGAAGAGATTAGAGTAGCTAGGACTTAGAAAATTTAAAAACTAGGGGTTTTTGGTGTTGGGCTAAAAGCTTCCAATCCAATCACACCAGCGAAAGTGAAATCAAACAATAAATCAAACACACAAAAGATAACAATTTAATGTGGTTCGGTCCAATCAACCTACGTCCATGGAAAAGAAACAAGATCCACTAGTTGTGGAGAATTACAAATATATATCAAATCATCAACCTCACTCAACAATCACTACTCATAAGACACTTTCAATCTCTTCTAATCCTATAGAGTATTCTCAACTTAAACAAACACAAACCCAAACCCTTATTCACCCTTTCAACATAACCAAACACATACCCATATGCTCCTATACATCATACCTATGTGGATCCTCTCAGTCTCTTCTAGTCCACTCATAAACAAATATACACACCCATAAGACGTAGAGCTCCAATACTCCTATGGATGTCTATCTCACAAAACCCTATAACTCTCTTACATATTTTTCTCATACCTAATCCTGTAAAGACTTCACCTATTTATAACCATACAAACTTGCCCATTAAAAATCTCTTTCCTCTTAAAATTCTTCTCATGTAAGACAAACTTGCCTATTAAGAATCCATTTTCTCTTAAAATTCTTCTCTTGTAAGTGAAACTTACCTATAAAGAATCTTCTTTCTTTTAGAATTCTTCTGTTGTAAGTCTTATTGTACATCAAGCAATATCTAACAAATTTCAAACAAATCTCAAACAAATCTCTTATGGGATTTGAGTCAATATTCCTAATAATTTCCACCTTGACTCAAATTTCATCAATCATCTGTCTTCATACTAGACATGCTTGGCTCCACCTACAATGAAAGTCTCACAATCATCTTTTTTTGTGTGTCTTCACACTTCATACAAATTGATCTTCAATCCTCAAAACTTGAACTCGAACTCTTCTCTTGAATCGAGCTCCTCTAAGCTTACTTCTTTCCATGTCTTAAACCAAGCTCTTCTCATATCTCGAACTATCAACTTTTTCATATCTCGAACCATCGATTTTTCCCACATCTCAAACATTTGACTTTTCCCACATTTCGAACTTTCAGCTCTGATACCACTTGTTGGGGAACACCATAGCTTTGATACCATTTGTTAGGCTAAAAGCCTCCAATCCAATGACACCAGTGGAAGCGAAATCAAACAATAAATCAAATACACAAGAGATAATAATTTAACATGGTTCGATCCAATCATTTTACGTCCATGGATGAGAAACAAGATCCACTAGTTATAGAGAATTACAAACATACATCAAATCAGTAACTTCACTCAACAATCAATACTCATAAGATACTCTCAATCTCTTTTAATCCTATAGAGTATTCTCAACTCAAACAAACACAAACTCAAACCCTTATGCAACCTTTCAACATAACCAAACACATACCCATATGCTCCCATACATCATACCTATGTGGACCCTCTCAGTCTCCTCTAGTCCACTCACAAACAAACATACACACCATAAGACGTAGAGCCCCAATACTCCTATGGGGTGTCTATCTCACAAAATCCTATAACTCTCATACATCTTTTTCTCATACCTAACCTTGTAGAGACTTCACCTATTTATAAGCATACAAACTTGCCCATTAAGAATCCCTTTCCTCTTAGAATTCTTCTCCTGTAAGTCAAACTTGCCTATTAGGAATCCCTTTCCCCTTAGAATTCTTCTCTTATAAGTCAAATTTACCTATTAAGAATCCTATTTCATTTAGAATTCTTCTTTTGCAAGTCTTCTTGTCCATCAAGCAATATCTAACAAATTTCAAACAAATCTCAAACAAATCTCTTATGGGATTTGAGTCAATATTCTCAACATTTAATTGTAAAACCTATTTTATTTATTTTAAATATATAATTTATATCGATTTTTTTTATCAATTTTGGTCTAGAAATTCAAACTTGAAAATCGATTGCCAAAATTGACCTAATTTACTTTTTTTAGTGGTTTTATTCAGTTATTAAGTTTAAACCCAATAATGCTCAGTCCTAAATAAAATTAGTTGCAACTATATGGATGGATTCCTATTTGCCATATATTTATTCTGTTTGTGCACATTCTCTTAAATTTGGTATTCCATTGGGTGAAACATTTAGGATTAATCTCATGTGTTTCTTTCAAAGCAGCATCATATGGTATAGATACATGAACCTAATGAAAATGGATATCAATTATGTTTTCATTTCATTTCCATTTCACACTATCATACTATGTTTTTTGAAGTGTTTATGAGTCTATGTGCACGTACCTTGTCGGCACAGTGCATTTTGAAACTCATAAATGCTTGTTGCTATTGTTTAAGTATTCATAAGTCTATATACATGTATCTTGTCGATACAGTGCATTTTGAGATTTATAAATGCTTTCTTATTGTAGAGGGCATGTAAGTCCACACATTTATACCTAGTCGATACAATGTATTCTGGGGCTTATAAATGCTCATTTTGTTGTGTGAAGATTTTGGTATATACTCATATTGACATTTTCTGTTTATAGCCATTATGTTAATTAGAATTCACTTTTAATGATTTGTGTTGTCCAAGTGAGAAATTGTTGTATTTATCTCTTATTAGTGGACTAACAAAGTCATTATATATTGGATTATTGTAATTGATGTCAATAAATGAGTAATTGTTGTGGCATCATGTTCTAATATACCCAAAATGGTAATATGATATTTGTTAAGTGTGAGCTTGATATAATTCTTTATTTGAACCTCTAATGGGATAGGTCAATTTTGATTAACATATTAAGGAAGATCCTTACTTTCACTTCTATGTATATGAGGCCAGCCCATTAAATTTCATAATTTTAGTTTTTGAGGTAGAGAGCAATTCTGTCTCTTATCTTTTTGTGCAAATCACCATTCGGAGCTAGGAAGGTGTCATTGGTAAGCACAAGACAGTGACTTCATTTCCGTGGACCTCGGTTTAGCTGGATTGAACTTTCACCCACATTCACTTCAGTTTTAGTTTTTATTAAAATTATGTTAATGACTTGGTGAACTTTCCACCAATTCTCGCACCAATCACCAAGGATCCCTTCTTTGTCTGGTTTTATATTGATGAGGAAATAGCAGTTGCGAGAGCCTTGAGGCAGTAGCGGAGGAACAGCATTTTGGTGCCGGTGACATTGATCTCAGAGAATGAACTTCTATTACAAATGTTTTTTTTTTTTTTTCTAATTTCATTTTCCAGAAAAAAAAAAAAAACTAGTCTATATTGCATTTATTTTCTGCATCCTCTGTTTCCTAGGCTCAAAGTAAAATGCTACTCAAGAAAATACTGAATCAAAAATGGTTCTTCTGCGATGAAGTAATAGTAAGGGATCTAACTTAAAAACTAAAATCAGCAACAACACGATTTTATGAACTGAATGCACTAAATGGCAACTCTATTGGATACATCAAACAGGGGTTCACCCCAATCCGGTAGCCATAGATGACATATTGAAAAACTTACTTTCAAACACAACTGAAAACAAAAACATCTCCCAATTATTTACTTATTTATTTTTTTTTATAATTTTTTTTGGGTTCAAAATAGGAGATATCTCCATTTATTTCTTGGCCATGGAGAAAAGCTCGAATGGAAAATGAATTTATTGCTTGCTTGTTGCCAAGGAACGCAGGTAATTGATGCTAGCAGTGAAGTACTCAACCGTTTTTTGTCTAGGTGGAAGGCATTCTTTGATCACTGGAGTTTCGATGAAGTCTTCTGCCCATCGATGAAGAAGTGGGAACCTCTGAGCGTCAACCAGCTTCATGCATCCAACTTCCTCCATAACATTGAGCCAATAAGGGATCCAACCAAGCGCAAGATCCAGATAGCCTATATGTTCCCCACCAAAGTATTTCGTCCTTCCAATCTGCATCTCAAGAAACGAAAAGGACTCTATTGCAGTTTCTATGGCTTTTTCCTTTTCATCTCCTTCTGCACGGCAAGCATCAAATGCACCCAACAAGCACTGTATTTAAGAAACCAAAACAAAGACAGACTGTCACCACTTAAAACTAGAATGAAATTAAATGGCTGTGACACGGTCTCGAAGATGAAGTACCTTTTCATCGGCAAATTTTGCCCAAAACCGAGCCATTGCTTTCTCATATGGATCTTCAGGGAGCAAGGGACTGTCCTTCCATGTCTCCTCAATGTATTCAAGAACGATGAGTGACTCAGCAATCGGTTTGCCGTTGTAAACAAGTACTGGAACTTTCTTATGAACAGGATTGTAGTTAAGAAGAAGAGGACTCTTGTTTCTTAAATCTTCTTCAATGTACTCATATTCCACACCTTTAAGCTTCAAAGCCCATTCAATCCTTGTGCAGAAAAGGCTAAGTGAAGAGGCTATCAGCTTCACTTCAGCCATGTTGACAATCAATACTTGTATTAGAAACTAAACCCAAAGTCTCTGCGAATATATATAATGGAACTTATTTGCTTGTGTTTATGTTGACGGAATTGTTGGATTTAATACTTTTTTTTCAAGCTTTCTTGAGAGAGACGGTAAACCCTTTGAACAGAGCCACCAGACTTGAAAAGGTCAGACTTCAGATGTTCGGTTTAATAAAAGCGTCGAGTAGAAGCTTTTAGAAATGGAGACTGAAAATTAATTTACGAATTAAATTATTATGATTACAATAATTATAATAAACCCAAGAAATTTTAGACTCTTACGAAGACACGGAACGCGGAAAGCAAAAACAAAGAAACGTCAACGGAAATTTCTGACCAATCATACAAAATATCACACCAGTTGTCCGTACATTAAAGTTCGGTGATATCCCGTTTCAAAGTAACTAACTGATAACTAGCCGATGAAATTGTTGACAACGAGAACTAAATTTTATTTTATTTTTCCAATGAAATGCGTATCCTTACGACCAATTGAGCTAACTCTCGTTCGTTGTTTGATTTAAGATTTAGTTTAGTATTATGGCTGAAAATAGTTTTTATGTTAAAAAGAGCTTTTAATTTAATTTTAATGTTAAACGATAAAAAATGTAGCTTTTCGGTCTAAAAATTTGATTTGCAAATTCAAATAAAAAAATTCATCAAGAAATACTTTTACGATGAAAAATATTTTCAAGATAAAAAATTATTATATTATCTAATATTTTAATATTTTAATTATTTTATACATAATTTTTAGATGTTTTAATTATTCACAATATTTTTGCATATCAATACTAAGGGCAGAACTTAGATAAAATTATTTATATGAAATTTGTGAAAACTTTTTTGAAAATGATTTAATAAAAATTTTAATAAAAAATTTAAATTGATAATTTAATAAAATTTAATATGAAAATTAATAATATGTAAAAAAATATTAAAAATATTATTTATAATTTAAATTTAATAAATATCAACTATAAAAATTCTATTACAATTCTTATTCAAAATGCATATCTAAAAAATATATCAAAATTTATTAAATATTTTTCAAATTTTTCACGCATAATTTATATACTAAGACCTTCAATCTATTTAATCGTTTTTAATAAAAAAAATTTATGAATTTCACTTAAAAGTTTTCATTTAAAATTTTCTTTGGATAATAAACACTTAAAACTTTTAATTATATTTTTCCTATCACACTTTTTAAATACACTTTTTTCAAACCACCGCTAAATGTGACTTGTAATTATTCTCCATTTTAATCTTGATACATATTAGTTTGGGTGGTCAAAGAAAGTGTCTTAGAGAAATAAATAAAAGAGAAAGAGAAAATGACAGCAAAGGATATGGAAAGTTAAAATAGTAGGGAAGATAGAAGTGAAGACGGAAGAGAAATAGCATGGATACAGGCAATCAATTTCATTGGTGGTCTTTTTTTTTTTTTTTTTTTCTTTAATTCCCGGCTCTATTTCATGTGTATATTATCATTATTTTTTGGTAATTTCCACACTTTTTTTCACTCTGTTTGTTCAGTTGTTTTTTTTTTTTATGAAATTATATGTTATTATATTTCAATATACAAATACATCTGTTAAAATTTATCACATGTATATTTATATGGATAATTTTTTTAAATAACATGTAGAATAATTTTTTAAAAAAATTATATCTTCTTTTTAATTACAAATTAGATAATCTTGAATTTATTTAAATATCAAAATAATTGCAAATTAAATTAATTTAGTGATATTTTTAAAATTAAAAATTTTAGATATTGATTTTACCCTAATAATTTTAATTTTTTATCATATTACCTCATTTTATAAATTATTTAATTATTAAAATTTTTCAACGGGTTTCAAAACTATAAAGATTAAAATCTTTCAAAAACTCAGTATATTTTTTTCATCTTATTTTTTACCAAACAAAAATTATCTTTTTAAAATTTAATAAAAAATAACGATGAAAATAAAACCTAAAATTTACTTTTTATTTTATTTCTTTTTCTTCTCTCATCACGATAATTTTACTAAACATATCAACTCATGAGGTTTTTTCTACGAAGAGGAAGTTTAATGTTAAATTTGTTTCAACATTAGAAGTGGTACAATAAAATTGTATTTTAAAATTGTTTTTTGAGTTTTAAAACAACTTTTTAAACTTTTTAATCAAGTATTTTATAAAATATTTTTCAACTGTTACATTTTGATCAAATTTACTTTAAAAATAGAAGTATGGTAGTAAATTTGTTCCAAAATTAGAAATGCGATAGTAAAATTGTACCAATTAAAAGATTAATAGTAAATTTAGACAATTTACATAAGTAGAATGATAAATTTGTACCTTATTCTATTAAAAAATTAAAATTAATGGGTACATTTCTATGATAATTTTAAATATGTAAATAATGCTAAATGTTAGTAAATTTTTTGTAAAGAATAAGTTATCTTTTTAACTTTTATTAAATTTCAATTATGACATTTTACTAATACTTAAAAATAATTATTTATTTATAAGTATATTGATCTTACCTATAAAGAGATGAGATAGGGATGGAAATTTAAAGACATCAAGGCCATTTTAGTCTTTTGTCTTTATTAATGGTATTTTGTTTAGTTAATATACTAAAATGTTATTTGTCACTTATTTAAGGGCATTAATGTAATTTTATTTTTTAATATGAGTCATTTTGAAAATGTAGCGTATATATTTTTATTATTACTTTTTTGTAGTGAGAGATGTTGATTTAGGAAATAGAAAGGAAAGGGAATGAAAGAAAGAGAGAAGGAAAGAAAAAGAAGAGAAAGAAAAAGAGAAAAGGAAAGAGAGGACGATTTGGCCTTATCCATCCAAATCTGACAGTAATGTTTGACTAGTCCTTTACGAGTCAGAATTTCTAAAAAAAAAAGCAATAGAGAAAAGAAAAAAACAGAAACCATTCAATACTAAGCATATAAATAAAAAATTACAAAATAATAAAAATAAATGCAATCATAATAAATTATGCGTCTTTTTCACGTTTTCCCTTTTGGTTTTTTTGTTATGCTTTTCTTCTTTTTTGTTTTTTCCATTTGTTGCATCGAAATCAAAAAATTTTTCAATATAGATTTGTCAGTAATTTACAAATTATGCCGGATAGGTTACTATCATCCCTTTAGTTGTTGCCTTTCTTTTTTTTTTTTAAATAATTTTTCTCTTTCTTTTATCCCTTTTTTTTAGAACAAAAAAATAAAAAAAAAACAAAAACGATGAAAAAGAATGAAAGAACACAAAAAGGAACAAAACCAAAACTAACATAAAGAGAGAAGCCTTAAAAAAAGGTGAAGGAGAAAAAGACAAAGAGAAAAGGTTAAGGTAAGAAAAATAGCGGTTTTCATTACTTCGTCATACTTATCTCCAATTCGTATGGTCTTTCCCGAACTTTTTATCATTTTTTTTAGTAATAAGAACCAAATATAAAAATAAAAAATAACCTTACATTTTAAAAATTTCTCTTGGATCCTTGAACATTAGAATCAATATACTATATAGATGAGAGAGAAACCTTTGATTTAAGAAAGATCTAATTAGATTCGACATGTTTAAGATCATTTCCTACAATATCAACATTGAATCTGGCCAAATTATTAATCGAAATAGGAGGGATGAACGAAGAAAAAATGAAAAAAGAAAGAAGAAAAAGAAACCATTTGGCTAAAAAATCATTTTTTATTTTTAATTTTTTTTCTTGCAATAGTAACAATAAGGACTATCCATTCCAAATTTTGGCCAAAAAATATACTTTGACATTCATCCAATTTGACACTAATAAAGTCACTCTTACCATAACTATTGTAAAATTGTAAGTATATTTATTTTTTATTAATTTAGTATTAATGAGAAATTTAAATTTTTTTGATAATAGAAATTTTAATTTTTTGTATTCTTATAGAAATGTGCTAATCCAAAATTTTAAAACTTAAAAAAGATATATGATATTTAATTGGTTTAAATTTTTTATTTATATAAATAATAATCTATCAAGGGTTAAATATAAAAATAGCCCTAAAATTATACACTTTCTATTAGTTTAATACCTAAACAAAAATAAAACTATTAGATTGATATTTGAACTTTCATTTCGTTATTACGTTAGTGCCTCGAACTAATATCATTAGTCAACTTTGTTGATATGACATGAACATCCTATAAGATACTAACACATATTAAAAGTTCAATAAGCACTACATCATCAATAATATAAAAATAAAAATTCTAAAAAAATTTAAAAATTCTACAACAATTTACAATTTTTTTATAAAATTCAACAAATTTTCAAAATTTTCAAAAACTTGAAAAAAATTTACAAAATTCTAAAAAAATTTTAAAAATTGTAAAAGATTTTAAAAATATTAAAAAAAAATTCAGGAACTTAAAAATTTTCAAAATATCTCAAAATTTTGTAAAATTCCCAAAAATATCAAAAAATTGTGAAAAATTTAAAAAAAAAATTCTTAAAATTAAAAAAAGTCATAAAAAACTTAAAATAGTTAAAATAAAAAAAAGATAAATTTTTTTGAAAAAAAAAATTGTAAAAAATTGTGAAAAACTTTTAAAATATTTTGAAAATTTTTATTTTTTTAATCTTAAAATTTTAATTTTAATTTTTTAAATATTAATATATTTTTTGAAAATTTTATTTTTATTAAAATTTTAAGTTTTTATTTTTGTTTTTCATAATTTTTAAAATTTTTATACTGTTTTCAGATTTTTGAAATTGTTTTACTTTTCAAAAAAATTTTAAAATTTTTAGAATTTTTCAAAAAATTTTCAGATTTTTTCAAAACTTTTTATATTTTTATAAATTTTTATAATTTTAAAAAAATTTTAGATTTTTTAATTTTAGTTTTTAAGTTTTATTTGAACTTGAAGAAAATTTAATTTTTATTAAAATTTTCAGTTTTTGAAATTTTTGGATTTTCTATTTAATTTTTCAAAATTTTTGAATTTTTAAACTTATTATAATTTTTATAATCTATAAAAATATTTCATTTTTTTTATTTTTTCGAAAATTTAAAATTTTTTTAGAATTTTCCAAAAATTTTTAGACAATTTTGGAATTGTTTAGAGTTGTTTAGAATTTTCAAAATTTTTTAGATTAAAAAAAATTTTTTGTATTTTTTGAAAATTTTTTCAATTAATTTTTTTATAAATATTAAACATTTAAAATTTTTTTTATAATTTTAAAGTTTTTTGTTGTAGATGTGACATTGATGATGTGTCGTTGACTAAATTTTTTTGACTCATGTCAAAATTTTATTAGATATTTATATCACGTCAACAAAATTGATTAACGGTATCAATTTAATGTATCAACCTGATAATGAAATAAAAATTTAGATATTAAGATAATAGTTTTATTTTTTAAAATACCAAATTGATAGAAAATAATTAATTTAAGGATCATTTTTATATTTATCAAGTACTAATGTCCTATAGTAAATGATTACATAGATGTAACATTTGAAACAACATATGATTATGAAATAGCATAGCAATAAATAATTATTACTTGATTGTAAGATGATTTTTATTTATGTATTATCTATCATTAAAGACATCGGTTAATTATATATATTTATCTTAACCATGTTATAATAACTTTCTAATAGAAATTTTCTTTGCTTATATTTATCCTTAACCATGTTGTAAAAGTGTTTATGAATTAGATTGGGCCAAACTTAGATATATTGTCAACATCTTACATGGTTGAATAATTTAAGTTTTAAAATTTGTTTAGACTCGTCTAGATTAATAAATATAACAGCACGAGCTTGCCCAAATATTAAAAAAAATAAATAAAAATTTTATTTAATTTTTAGTATTTTTATCTTTCTTATATTAAACCCTAAAACATGGATAACTTAATATTTTATAATACCAACACTATAATGATATATGTATTTTCTTTTCTATAATAAAAACTAGTTGATGACCTGCCTTTCATTTTTTGAGAAGTTATCAAATGCCAAAAATTTTTTGAATGAGTTATGACGATTGATTAATTAATTAATAATAATATTTATTATATGAATAAAATATAAATTTTACAAATATATATAAATTTCTACAAAATTTACAAAAAAAAAAAAAAGTTTCTTGACATGGTTTCATTGTTTTACTCTATTTTATTCAAAAAATTAAAGATAAATTTGAACAAAGCAAGGTAGCACTAAAGATATCATGCTGGATATATTTTGAATATTATAATGTTCTACATTGCACCTGTGACATAGGCAAAGTAATATATTGTAAAACATGTAAGACTCGAATCCCATCATTTTAAACCCTTTTCTCCTATAAAGTAGATAAAAAAAATTGACAAAATAACTTGTAAAAGCTGAACCTTCATATTTAAGTTTAAAATTTTATAATTTTTGAAATTTGATGAAATTAACCCAAACTGGTTTTGTAAACTCAAGATAACAATTATCAAAATCTAAAGAAAGGAATCCTATTTCAAATATCTACATTTTTTCTTCAATACTCAATCATTTTTAATTTTATATTTATACCTTAAATATGATTTTTAAAATTTTTAATATTATCTATGTAGTATTTTTATATTGTTAATTCTACTTCATTTTACTTTTTTATTTTTCTTTAATTTATGCAAATTATACTTTAATTATCTCTTTCTTTTTTTCTTTTCTCTTAAACCTTTTTATGCACCATTTTTTTTCCTAAAATTCTTTTCTAATCGTTTCTAAAACATATAAATTGATTGAAAACTTGATGGTTTTTTTCTCAAATACTTCAAAACCATAATTTTTGGTAGAAGCAATTTAAAAGACCAAATAAAAAAAGAAAGAACACTTGAGAAAAGAGAAAAGCCCAATGTAAAATATCTCTTCACCCACAATGCTCCAAAGCCCAAAAAGGAATGCATGACAAGGCATTTAGTAAAGGGTGTCGTTGATTTACCTTAACCTACAATACTTCATCGGCCGAAAAAATCCACAATGGTTCAAAGCCCATAAAAACTCAAGAAAAAGGCATTAGTCCTTGTCAAAAAGTAAAGACCTGAATGTTAATCGTCTTCAAATTTCGTAGAGAATTTGATAGTTAATTTTAATAAATATACATATATATATATTTTAAAGATGTAAATGAAAAATAAATATGGTTTTAAAATTTTCATAAAGATAGGGACCTATGATATAATAGATGCCTTGCACTTGTACCTATGTATTATATATTTATATATATTTAGCAAATAAAATTGATATTTAATAATATAAATTTTGTTTTAAATTAATTAAATTTAATATATATTTTTAAAAAATATATTTATAAAAAATTATATAAAAAAACTAGATAAAATAAAAAAATAAAAAAATTATTTTTTAATTTTTTTTATAAAAACTACTGATACTAAGATTCAACATTCCTTTAAATTCTCATAAAATGTGAGGATGAGATAAGTTTGAAATATATATTAGATATGAATATAAAAGAAGATATAATGTGAGAAAATAAAAATAAAAGTGAAAAATATTTGACCCTTCTCATATGATTTCTATTGGCATCTCTATCAATAATCTCAAGTAAAATTGCTTATTTTTCATCCAAATGCATTTTTTTAGTTTCTTTTTTTTTCTTTATTAACTTCTGCAAGTAAAATAGTAAAAATGCTAATCAAACAATATTAATTTTTTTTTAAAATATAAAGAATAAGACCTAAAACCCAAACAATATAAGGGGCCATCTATCTGCTGGTAAATGGTAACCTTTACCTTACTCCATAACCATTAAGAATGAGGACAAAAAGCCCAACAATCTTCCTACAGGAAGGCTCAAAGCTTTCATTCACCTATTCTCTCTCGGTCTTCAATTCAGAATAATTCCCCCTCAACACCCTGCTACTGGCAGCCATTGCTTTTCTTCCCATTATAGTTCCTTCACGCAGACTTATTATTATTATTTTTAAATTAAATATTTTTAGTATTTTTAATCAAAATTTGATCTTTTCTTGTACTTTTTTAATTTCAAAATTTCGTGCTATTTTTCGTTTCCCAATCTCTCTCTCTCTCTCTCTCTCTCTCTCTCTCTCTCTCTCTTTTCCTAATTTCCGTTCATTTCCTTTCTGTTCTGTTTTTCTCTCTTTCCTCATTCAGAGCTGAGAGCTCGAAAAAGTTTCTCACTTTTTTTGGGGTTTGAAAATTGGTAGTAAGGTCGGCAATTGAAAATCGGAGAAAAATAAATGTAATGCATTGTGACAATTCTGATAAACAAAAGCAATTTTAAATAAATAAAGAAAAGGAAAAAATGACAGAAATGGATCTGTCAAAGAAAGTGGCGGATAGGTATTTGAAGCGCGAGGTTCTTGGTGAAGGTACTTATGGTGTTGTCTACAAAGCCATTGATACTAAGGTAACCCTAATGACCTAACTCTCTTTTTTTTTTTTTTTAATTCCAAAAACCCTTAAAAATTGAAGACAGAGATAGAATAATTAGGTTTTGATTATATAAATAAAATGCATAATTATCCCTTTTCTTATTCTTTCTTGGGTAATTTCTAAGCTTTAAATAATTTTTTTTAATAAAAAAGTTGTGACTTAACAGAGTAAAGTAATTGAAAGAGATTTCTAGGCTTCCTTTAAATGTGGGTTTTCCTGTTTTTCTTATGCACCCTAAAAAATTGTAATTCTACCGTAATTGTTATGTATAAAAGTAAAATAATGCATTTTGCTCTCTAAGAAAGTTGCAATTTTAACTTTTAATTATTCAAAACTGTTTCTTTGTGCTGCCACAATTTAAAAAATGTAGGTATTTCCCTTTTGGAAAGTAGCAAAAGCAGCAATAACATCAAGCCTCTTCAGTTACATGAAATTAACAGCTGTTTCTCTGCAATTTTCATGATTGATTAAAAGAAAAAAAACATTTTTTGAAAAGATTTTTGGGTGGCTGAGTTGTTTATCCAACTTTATGTGATTAATTGTTTGCTTGTTTGGGCCATTTCAGACAGGACAGACAGTTGCAATTAAGAAAATTCGGCTGGGAAAGCAAAAGGAAGGGGTGAATTTTACAGCACTCAGAGAAATTAAACTTCTTAAGGAGCTTAAAGATCCGAATATAATCGAGTTAATAGATGCATTCCCACACAAGGGTAATTTGCATCTTGTGTTTGAATTCATGGAGACTGACCTTGAAGCTGTTATTCGGGATAGGAATATATTCCTCTCACCAGCTGACATCAAATCCTACATTCAGATGACTTTGAAGGGGCTTGCTTTTTGCCATAAGAAATGGGTTTTACATAGGTCTTGTTTCTTTCTGCTCTTACTCTAGATTTTTATGGTTGCTGCTTCCTAAATTGCTTAACTTGTTATTGTGCTTTACAGGGATATGAAGCCAAATAATTTGTTAATAGGACCCAATGGACAACTTAAACTTGCAGACTTTGGTTTAGCACGAATATTTGGGAGTCCGGATCGTAAGTTTACTCACCAGGTAAGCTTATTGCTGTCAACAAGGGTTTTCAATTATATCAGTACAGTTAGTAATTGGCGCTGAGTAACATCTTTTTTCTCTCCGTCACTTTATAAATTTCTGTTATATCTTGAATTAGTATTTTTTGCTTGCAATAAGCTTACCTAGGTGGCAGTGCTAACTTCCTAACCTGTAATCTTACAGAGTTAATCCTCACAACCAAAACTCCTTTTTTTTTTTGGGAATCACTATGTTTCTGTGGAAAAATTTTTAGAAACTGGGTTTATATTTGTTGTGGTTTGCAATTTTAACTTCTAGTTTTCTACATTTTGGGGATTGATTAGTTATTCTGGAACTTGGTTATGTGCTGAAAACATGCATGCTCTTTTCCTAGTAAGTATCTATTGATATTCTGCATTATATCCATCATTTTGTTGTATCATTAGTTCTTGTCAGTGATGTTGTTGTAGTATTTTAAAGCAACATGCAAATATTAGTTGATTTTGTGGAGAGACACTAATAACATCAAAAACAATTTGTTGTCCCATCTATTGTATATTCTTTTCTTCGTTTTCCATGGAATTAGACTTTGATTTAGAAATCCTCTTTTTTTATTTATTTGCACATCTATTGGACCCCTCTTTGAACAGTTGTATTGATATTGCAGTTGGTTCTAGATTGTTGCCTTCTGTTTGGCTTTTCTTATCTGTCTATTGGAAGCTGTAAATTTATCCATCATTGTGGATTTAACTTACTTGTAAGTCCATGGAACTATAAATAGGTCTTTGCTCGATGGTACAGAGCTCCTGAGTTACTTTTTGGTACCAAGCAATATGGTGCTGGTGTGGATGTTTGGGCAGCTGCCTGTATATTTGCTGAACTTCTCCTACGACGACCATTTCTGCAGGTGAACCTAGCTTGCCATAGTTAAATTTCTTCATTGTTAGATTTATTTTGTTTTGATACTTGCATGATTGTTTTTGGCTCTTCAAGTTATAGAGTACTGTCTTTTTGTTCATGCTGTATTGTATGCATCCTTTTTTCTAAGATCCTAGATGATGGTCTGTTATGATTGGATCTCATTTTCAGCTTTATGCTTTCCTCATGTTGTCTTGCTGTAACTATCCTCACTGTTATTAAGCTTTAACGATAATGATTACTTACTAACAATCCTGTAATATGGTCACTGGTAACTGTTTTTTATTTTATTTGGTTTTTTTTAACTTTAGGTGACTTAATTCTCTTTTTGGTTCCCTGGAGAATGTTCTCTTGATCGGTTTGTCAGGCTTATTCATGGTATCATTCAAATAAGGATCACGTTAGAATGGGCTTATAAAATTAAACGTAAAATGCTCTATTGACCTGCATGTTTCCAGCAGATAAAAGGTATTGCAGACTGTTTAAGGATGATGGTAATATCTTACAATTTTGTCAAAAAAGTGAATCATTGTGATGGAATTCATGTTTACAACAGAATTTTGCTTACTTGGTTTACCAAATCAAAGTTTGTTGATGATTAATTAAATCCATTTTGGTGCTGATTGTTGGTATCTTGGCTATGCTTGATAGGCATTTGGTTTTAGTTTTACAAAGCAAAATCCTTGGTCTTACGCAGAGTGCAACAATACGATGCCTCTATACTAGCTTGTGAGATGCCATCAGAAATCTTGTTGTCTATAGTTCCCTTACCTTTTATTGTTTTCTCATCAGAAATCTTGTTGTCTATAGTTCCCTTACTTATTATTGTTTTCTCATTGGTCTTGTCTCTAGCTTATCTTAGAGATGCTTCTTCTCTCTTTGAAATGTTAAGTGTTAGACTAGAACTTTTTGTTGCATTGATTTATGAGTAATATTCAGTTTGCAGGTCTTGGTGTTACTATGGATTATCCCATTGAATTTGCTGACTGTTTTCCATTCGTTGAACTTATGTCATCATAGCATGTGAAAATGTTAGGTAGTGATTTTAACAGGCTCATATGTGGTTTGTTCCTTTCAGCTTTCCTTTTTTCATTATGCACCCATGTGTCCTCAATTTGAAGTTTCATTTCTGGTATATTTTCTCATTTTTAGTGGTTCAACATTTAACATTTGATAGGGTACAAGTGACATCGATCAATTAGGAAAGATCTTTGCAGCTTTTGGGACGCCAACATCCTCTCAATGGTCAGATATGGTGTACCTTTCCGATTATGTAGAATACCAATATGTTCCTGCACCACCTTTGCGTTCATTGTTTCCCATGGCCAGTGATGATGCTTTAGATTTGTTATCAAAAATGTTTATTTATGACCCGAAAGCTAGGATTACAGTGCAGCAAGCATTAGAGCATAGGTATTTGGAACCTTTTAATTAGAAATATAAAGAGAATTTTTGGTTCTCTGCTCTCATGTTTGTTCTTTTGGTCAGGTATTTTTCATCTGCGCCTCCACCTACAGATCCATCTAAGCTCCCTAGGCCTACTCCTAAATCGCTTGCATCAGATTTTAATTCCCAGGATGGTCCCACTGTTCTTTCTCCTCCACGGAAATCGAGGAGAGTAATGCCAGATCATGGGAGATTTGAAGGTAATTCCAACCAAGTGGAGAAGATTGATGAGCATGTTGATGAAGTAAGACACTTAGTTGGTGACTTTGGAGGAAAAAGTGAACAGGTGCCAATGTCAATAGATTTTTCAATCTTTGGGTCAAAACCTTTGACCAGACCTACAATTAACAGGTAAGGCAATAGCTATTGTTTTTGTAATGGTTTTTCGTGCTTTATAATTTCCTCAAAAGCATTTGAAGTGATTCAAATGTGCAACACATGGTGATTCAACTTGAAAATGGATTTTTAAACCTTGTATCCTACTGTTAAATGGAGTAGTTTTAGGATAAGCTTGGACATAATATGTCATGGCCTGTCAAAATGGGTTAAAGAAATTATATCAAGCCCCTAGTGTTAAGTCTGGTTTTTCTTTTGATTCAAAATTCCTCACCATGTTCTTAAGCTAGTCAAGAAGTTGGAGAAAACTTCAATCTCCCATTCATGTGAATTTCTAATGAAAAGCGCTTTCCGTGCTATTCTTCACTTGGGAGTGAAATCTTTCTCAAAGCAGCTACCTTTTTATTGGGATAAAATCTTTCTAGAAGGAATTAAAGAATGAAAACTCCACAAAAGGGTATGAAAGTTTTCCTACCAATTGTTTAGAGGAAAAAAGCCCAGTGAAGGTAGCCCGGTTTGTGGGGGAAGCATCTTGGGAAGAATTTGACTACTCGTAACCTTCATAAGAGAAATTTTCTTTAAATATATGTTTTTATCTAAGGCTAGAGCCTAATTGGCTCTTATGGAATGCTGGTAGTCTTTTTGAGTCGTGGTAGGTTCATGTGGATCGTGAGTTTGGAAGGTGTATGGTAAAGATGGAGAAATCCCCTCATATACTCTTCTTTTGTGGAGGGAATAAAGTAGAAGGGCTTTTGAGGATGGTTTAGTAGCATTTGCTCGGTCTCTTAGATTATATGGTTTCATACTCTTTTTCTTTTAGTTTAATAAGCAACAGCTCTTAGAAGTACACGATGCATTAGATTTTACATGTCTTTTTCAGCTGTAAATATTAGTCTTGGAAAGTTGAAATGATGCTGGGGGCTTGCTTAGTTAAGTTTTGAATTTCAACCTTTACGGGCTAAAGGGTTTGCCTAAAGGGTTATGATTTTATACATGGGCAATGGACATATTTGTTATTGTCCTCATTTTGTAATGTTTATGATATAAATGGGGATAAGATCAGAATTTCCCACTGTTATTGCTATATCTATATAATTAGTAAAATGATGCAACTTAATGAATCCTAATGCTGATCGCAGTTATGTGTATACCTTTCAATTACATTGCTTTATCCAACAATGCTTGCAAAAAATATCAACCTATAGTCTTCTTGTACTTCAATTTTGCTAGATATTACAATAAGCTGGTTTTTATCAATGCATTTGCATTAGATAAGATAGTCATGCAATATTGATACATTCGGGATCAAAATATTTATGAATGAAATTTGAACCTTTGGATGCATATCTAGCACTTCTCAATATTTCTAAATGTATTATTGATACATGTTGAACCCTAATATATATCTCTTAAGTATAGACTAACAACAGGATTTTACTTAAGTGCATTGAATGTGATTTTAGAAAGTTTCTAGTATTGGTTTTACCACAATATTTGTGAATTTTCTGACTGTAAGGTATTGTCCATTTAATAAAACAAAGGCTTTAATAAGGAAAATGAATAACTTATTAACAAATCCTACTCTTGCTTTATTGTAAGTTTCAAAGAATCCCCATTATTGTAACCTGTATCTTTGTTAATTTACTTTTCTCCCATTTACTACTGGGATAGATGCAAGGTAATGAAGCTCAAGTAAAGGGCGTTAATCCTTGTCAATAGGCTTAAAGCAGACAATTAGTCTCGTGTTTCTGGTAAATCTTGCTCATATTCAAAATGATTAAAGGTTAATTAAGTACTTGGGTCAAAATATAAAGTAACTTATAACTTTTCAAATGAACGTTGCATTTTGCATATAGATTTTTCTTGTTTTTCCCCCCTAAATTATTATAGTTAGTTTTATGTATGCATCTTCAAAAATTTCCTATCTCTGGTTTATGATGTGTACAATGAAGAAAATTTTGAATTGTGCTTTGGTTATCACCATTTTAAGCCTGATTTAGACAATCTAGTGCAAGGAGTTTGACCTTCAGGGATGTTGGATTAGCATTGTTTGTGCATTTTGCAAGTTAGCTGAAACATTTCTATTTTGTCAATTAGTCTGTCTGCTTGTCATCTTCATGTGCTCTTTGTTTGCCTATTTGTATTTCATTTAATAGTCTAGTATGCTTACTGCATTATCAAATGTGCATGTCCCTACTTAGAGTTGGACAATCCAACTTTCCTAGTTGGAATTTTGGATTATTTTGGTTTGCGGGGTAGAGGTAGGGGTGGAAGAAGACATGGCTCAAGAATGGGGAGTTTATTTAAAGCCTTTTCATTTCATACTTAATCCAATAAATCAGTTGAAACATTTATTCACCAAAATTTAATTGTATTTAAATTTGATTAGGGGTGTAGGCGAACAGAGCTTTTGACGAACTGTTTGTGAACATGTTCGGTTTCTGTTCGTTTATGTTTGTTTATTAAGCTTAACAAATGATCTTGAACACTATTTGTACGTTTGTTTATTAATGAACCAAATACGAACAGCTGTCTGTTCGTTCATTTATGTTCACGAATAAACTCGTTTACGGTTCGTTTAAAACTCATTTGTTTATTGTTCGTTTGTTGTTTGTTTGCTGTTCGCTCATAATAATACTAATAAAATTACATTTTTATCCTTTACCCTAATCTTATTTTAAGGTTCGTTTATGTTTGTTTAGGTTCATTTATATTTGTTTAAATTTGTTTGGTTATGGTTTGTTTATTGCTTATGAATTTTTGATTTATATATGTTCGTGAATATATTCGTTTAATGTTTATGAATGAGCTCGTTTAACTTAATTGAATGAATATGAACCGAATTTGAACAACCTATTATTTAAATGAATGAATATGAACGAACAGAGCAAATTTCTTAATGAACACAAACCGAATACGAATACCTTTAAAAACAAATGAACAAACACAAACATATGATCTTTCATTAATGTTCGGTTCATTTACAGCCCTAAATTTGATGACTTTGATGTTAAAATTTCTTTAATTCCCTATTTTGTTCCTTTTTAAGCTATAATCAGAATAAATGAAACATTGAATGTTGGTCATTTCTCAGTTCCTTTTTGCTTTTTAAAAATTTACTTTGGATTCTGTTCTACCTAGAGGAGGTCTTACAATATCAGGTATGAGTAATGATCATTTCTGACATTTGGCAGAAATTTGAGCTAAATATTCCAATGATCATTTGAAATATATAAGATAATAATAAGATAATAAATCTTCTGGGTGAAAAATATTACCATAAAATACCTATTGAAGATGCTAATTCTTTAATTGGAGGTATTGATGCGCTTGTGATCAGCATCTTCTTGTTTTAGATTGTTGTGATGGTAGGTTTTCTTAGTTTTTGCCACTTCAAATGCAATATCTAGATTGGATTCTTTATAAAGGAGGTCCAACATGGAATTCTGGTTCCTTTTTCTTCTTCTCTAGGGTGTCATCGAAAAGGAGGAAAAATGGGTGGGGTGGGAAAATGGAATCCATTTCTAATAGTACCTATGTTAAAATATCTGAGCTTTGTTATGAATAGGTCTCTTTGCACCTGAAAACAAGAAAAAGAAAAAGACTGAGTTGATTCTTTAACTGTTCTTATGCAGTGCTGATAGATCTCATCTTAAGAGGAAACTTGATCTTGAATTCCAACACAATGAATAAGAAAAATCCAGAGTATTCAAGTATCTTTTGCAGCAATGTGTTTCGGCTTCACGTATATTTATGAGCTATATCTGCAATTGAGGTTTTTGTTAATTATTCTGAGCGTGAGCAGTCTCCTTTCCATTATCTGCAACTGGGGTTTTTATTGGTGAGCGTCCTCCCCTCATATCACGAAGAAACAGTTACCAGTGGAGTTGGAGATATAATTATTTTTCAGAGGATTTTCTTCAGCTCTCAAATAACTGTAAAGGAAGAAGTGAACTGTAACTCATTTTAACATTTTGATTATAACTTGTTCTCCCTATAACGGGATGAGGAAAAAAAACCTTATCCAGCAAGAAGAGAAAAAAAAGAAGAAAGAATGATATTTATTGCTTGAGAGCAGCTTGATGGTTCTGGTTGATGCAAAATCCAACTTGATTTCTACTTCTAGTTTGCTCTCAGTGACGATTTCCTCCAGACGACGAGCCAGGTTTGTAATTTTAAGTCTTAGTTTATGGCTTGTGTTTTACACATGTTTTCCTACTTTCAAACCATTAACTTTGAGATGACTGAATACTATCTGTTGTTTCACCATATGGTAATTTCCATTTGTTGTTTAGATCATTACATGGACATATCAGTGCAAGTTCTGTGTTTATCGGCTGAGTCAATTACGCAATTTCTCTGTATGTGTCGGTTATTTGTTTTATGCAAATGTCAATTATTATGTGAGCGGTCAAGTGTGATTTGTATAAACAAGAAAGAACATGATTTATAGTTTACCTATGCATTAAGGTGGAGGACAAAAGGTAAGATCATAGCAACATGAACACTTAAAATGCAATAAGAGTGATAATTCATCGGATTGGATTGTGTTTGATTTTTTTAAAAATTATATAATATTATGAATTTTTAAAATTCAAATTGAATTTTTATATGATTTGAATCAAATTAAATTGAATTTTATCGTTTGGTTTCATATAGGTTATTAGTTTTTAAAATTTAATTATTTTTATTTTTATATATTATTTTAATATAAAATTTTAATATATTTAAATTGATTTTTATGTAAAATTATTAATTTTATTTTATAAGAATTTAAAAAATATATAAAAATGAATATATACAGTTCAATTTAATTTAATTTTTTTTTGTTTTTTATTTTTTGATTTAAAATTTAATTTAAATTTAATATATATTTAATATTTGAATTTAATTCGAACTGAAGGGTAAGATTTTGTATTGAGTTTTAATTTTTTCAATTTTTTTTCTTTACTCTAATAAGATCCAATGTTTCTGCATCCACTGATCTTTTACCAATCACATCCTCTAGTGATACCTTGGCATTAAAAGGGGGTAAAAAATGTATTAAAGTCAGGTTTAAGTTTTATGTGTGTAGTAGGATTGGATAGAAAATTTTTCTTTTGATATTAAAGTCAGTTTAAAAATCCTACAGGAACACACTCTGCCATGGCTGCTGCTTCACTTCCTCAATAATCTCTTCCCTTTCTACTCCTTTACCTTAGCTATTCTCCCCGTTAAAACCACAACCATCCTCCAGAGGTGAAATCCGATACTGTTCATGTTCTCTCTCCATTGCATTTTCACAAGAAACTTGAGACTTGACAGTGAAACAAAACTTTTATGAAGCTTATTAGTGGTAGAACTATTGAAGTTTTGTCACTTCGCTTTTACACTTTCAACTATGGAATTTCTACTAGTGTTCCATCTAGTGGGGCTGGCAGCCGTTGTTGACGTGCAGCACAATGTTAGACATTAAGTGTTACATTGAATCATTTGGATATTTTGCTGAAGAGATTGTTTGACAGCTTGATTTTATTTTTAAAATTCATAATTTACCCATAAACCTTCTATTCTTAACATTTTTATGCTTATGAGAGAAAACACACATGTAAACTCTTTTAAATTTATAATCTTCAAATGTCAACTCTAAAATGAAAAGACTTAATGAAGTTTTTAAAGTGAAATTCGTGAAATGTTTTTATTAAAAATGATTAAATAAAAATAAAAAATAAAAATAAAAATTGATAGAGTGAAAGATTTTGTTAGATAGATAAGTGTGCAAAAATTAAAAAAAATTTAATAAATTTTAATATATATATATATATATTTTTAGATAAACATTTTGAGTAAAAAAGTTGACAGAATTTATATTATTGAATGAGTATCGATCAAATTTAAATTATAAATAATATTTTTAATAATTTTTTTTTACATATTATTGATTTTCACATTTAACTCCATCAATTAATTAATTTATAATTTTTATTAAAATTTTTATTAAATCACTTTTAATAAAATTTATAAATTTCACTTAAATAATTTCATATAAAATTTGTCCCTTCAAAATACTTACCTAAAAAATTTTCATTTAATGCAACCAAATCAATTAGTCAACAGTAAAAAATGGGATAAAAAATAGCATTACCCTTTTACTAATTGGTTTGCTTTTTCCAAACAATTGAGAAGTCTCTTCAACCCCTTTTTCCACTTTTTTATTTTTAAGTTTTCAGTTTTGAGATGATTTCTCTATAAGAGAAACCTTTTTTTTTTTTTTTTCTTCATGATATCAATGCATAGGTTTAGCTCAAATGATAAGTGTGGAATAGGACTTGGGTTCTTCCCCTCCCTACCCACAGCCTTCAATTTCCTTCGTTTCAAAATTTTCATAGCTGAATTTGCCATTAATCGTTGCTTCAAGAAAATTGACTTCTATCTGTTTAAAGTTTACATGGAAAAAACTTTACAAGAATGTTCCTGTTTCAATTCCTATGTCTGGGAAGCTTTTTCCATACTTGGAAATGCAACTTCTGTCATTCTTGAAATAGATTCAATAATCAAACACTACTAAGTCCCTAAACATCTCTAGAAACTGTGGTGTGGCTCCAGCTCCTTCAAAGTTTAGGTGAAAACTTATGCTTATCCTGTAATGAAACGAGATGATAATAAAAAACAACTTCATGAAACAACATCCACCGAGATTGCATAATCATATACTCGCTCCGTAGCTTTTTTTGCCTAAATAAAAGTGGTGAAAAGTCAATCTTTCGTAAAAGAATGTGTTAGAAAATATAAGAAAATCATAGGAGGTGGCTAAATTATTGAGAGAGGTTGAATATCTTACCTCTTGCTCCCAGTTAGTTCGAATGGTAATAATACTAAGAGAAGTTGCTTGAACAACAAGTGCACATATGATTCCCAGCCAGAGACCCTACACACCAGATATATATATATATATATATATATATATATATATATGATAGTTAGAAGAGTTATGGATCCAAGTTTTTTTCCGGGTATCCATTTGTAATATAAATAAAAAACTACTGATGAATTCGTTAATTTTGTAGATGGATAAGAGGTCCAAGAGAAAATTTTAGGAGTGGTCCAAAAAATTTTTTTCTTTCCATTTTCTTTTTTTTCCAGTCGTGGGGTAGTCATTGACACCTTATTTCCCATTTGTATTCGCCATTGAGTTAGAAGAGATTACATTACAAGAAAATGACTTGGTTGCTGCTTGCCATCAAGTAAACTACCAAAATATATGTAGCAAAACATTCGAAAGCCATAAAAGAAAAAAAAAAAATCTAAGTTTTACCTTTCCACCAGCATCGAGTACGAAAGCTAACAAAATAGTACAAGGAATCCCAACCATATAATAAGATCCAAGATTGACATATGCGCCAATCTTCTGCCATCCACATCCTCTAGCAGTGCCTGAAATATCAGATAAAAAATAACTGCTAAGCTGCGAGATTTGGAGAGTCAACATCAGTTAAAGAACAAATAGAAAATATTTAGGGAGAATGTTATTAGCTTCGTTCTATTCATGGTCTGGCCTCTGACTTAACAGGAAATTGTATCCTTGAGAATACTTGTGTCCTCAGTAGTAGGAATCAGAATTACATGTTTCATGAATCTGTCATTCCATGTATAAAAGCAATCACTTGATGACTGAAATGGAGGGTGGAAAATGAAGTTAAGGTTCGGAAATTATGAAACAGATTAAGTACTCTTTATTATCACTATTATGCACATGAATGTGCATATATCAAAGAGATATACTTTAATTATCATTAACTGCTGCTATCTGCACGACTGCAACCACCGGCTATTATATAGTTCACGGAATTAGTTTAGGTGTTTCTCTCTCATGCAGAGCAAGTTCTCAATCTAAGCCTACTGATTTCATCAGTATAAAGACCCAAAGAGGAATTTATCCATCAACCCAACTCATCAATTCAAAATAAGATCCAAATCTGTAAGGTTAAGTCCGAAAAAAGCTAACTTCATATTGGTAGGAATATTAATTTGACCAAAGTTTCAGCTTACACTTTTGATCATTGGATGTCCTTTGAATGCCAATAGCTGCTGGAACTAAGGTTCTACAATAATTTTGATTCCATCACCTTATAAGAACCCTAGGAGATCTCCAACGTATAAGAGAAAATGCATACAAAGTTGAGCTAAAGAGAGATTATGGAGTTTTAGCCACTTTCAATGTGTCTAACTTATCTCCATACTCTAAAGAAGAAGACATTGAGAACTTGAGGTCTAATCCCTTTCAACCTATGGAGAATGATGCAGGAGCAAGTTCTCGATCTTAGTCTATTGATTTTATCCGTACAGAGCCCATACTAGTGAAGAGGAAATTGCCCACCAGCCCCACTTATCAAACCAAAACAAGGCCCAAACACAATCTTTAAAAAGGTTAATTCTAAAAAAAAGCCAAGAATATTTGACCGCCCTTACTTTTGACCCTTGAATGCTTCTTAGATGTCAGGTCTTACAATAATATTTATTCTAGCACCTTATAAGAATCTTGGGAACTTTTAGCATTTGTGTGTTTAATAATTTTTAGCAAGATAAATGTGTTATTCTTTTTCTCGGCTTTTCCTATTATTGGAAGGATATTCAAGTTCAAATATAACTATCCCTCATGTAATGTAAAATGTAAATGGACATTTTTTTTTTTGGGAGTAAAACAAACCTTATTTTTCCTTCTTTTAAGTTTTATATATTTTTTTGTGGACTTACTTAGGATGGTAAACTTTTTTAGCCTTTTTTAAAGTGATGAATTTTGTATCCTGAGTTTGGAGTTATATAAATATATATATATATATACATATATTTTTGGGTGGTTAAACCTATATCTTTTAAAAAAATGAAATTATTCATTCATTTGTGAATTATTAAAAGATTCATTTCATTTTATTCTCTTGATGCAGTTTCACTCACATAAATTAAAAAATTTCAAAGTGATTTATTTAAAAAAAAAAAAAGAAAATTCAAGTGATAGTAAGAAACAGGAAAACCTGAGAGAACACACTGGAGGGCATCAAAAAAGGTTGAAGTTGCTGCAAATGGCATCAAGGTTGCTACATATTTAACTACTTCTACTTCATTGCTATAAGCGTAGCCCCAAATGTTGCGAATCAATATCAAGATTGATCCCACCAAAAGGCCCTCGGAAATGGCCATGACTATGGCAACACATACAGCTAAACGTGCTACTTGTGGATTTCCTGCTCCTAATTCATTTGAGATCCGAGTGCTGTACAAAACATTGAACCCATTAAGAAAAGATTAGTGAATATTGAAACATAAATTTAGTGCCTGAATGTTTTGTTTCCCTTCAAAATTGAGACACTGTTACACAAGCAATGAAAATTGTAATTAGCATGCCGTACCTTACTGCTCCACTGAGTCCAAAGGGTATCATCCAAACCGTGTAAGCAGTGTTAAGGCTGGAAATGGAAATGTTCAGTAAGGTTGACAATTACATTGACATTTGACAATTAAAATGTTCAACAAATTGCTGGTGAAAATGGCTATTTTAAGTTCAAAACTAACCAAATAGAGAGCACCGAAGTTTGTAACTTTGGATTAGGAAGAAGACCTGATAGCAAAACTACCATTTCAAATGACCACATCTCCAAGCTGTTCAGAGTCATGATGGCAAACTAGAGTAATTAAATATGAGGCAAAATCCAGTAAGTATAAACACATGCACAAGCAAATTTATTCCATGTCTACTTTCTAGGTGATTAAAAGCGAACTTCTTTGTGATTGGGTTCATAGCAATGTACTGTTGAAAAGAAATTCACTTCATTTTTACGTCTGTACAAGGGCGGATCCAAATGGAGAATTAAGACGTTTAGGATATCTCAAAGATTTAAAACAAGAAAAATTTGAAAGAAAAATTTTCATTGGAGACCCCAAAATTTTTTTCTAAACCTTCTTTTTGTTGATAAAATTAATAAATTTGTCCCAGTTTTATATATTTATTTTAAGTAGATACCCAAAAACAAAAAATCCTGGATCCATGAATGTTTCTTTATATATTTGTGTCATTGAAGAGGAAAAAGAAAGAAAGGAGAGCCATTACCAGACCATAATAGCTGATGGAATAGCAAGTCGAAGAAAAGTGAAAATATTATGAAAGGCCTCCTTTGAAAATCCTGCCCAAGTCCTTGCGCATGAAGGAGAGAACTTGACATACAAAACCAACAAGAAGACATTTGTCCAATTGGAGATTGAATTCGCCAAGGCAGCTCCTCTAAATGTAAGGTTAGATTTGAAAACCGTGACCCAACAGATAAGATTGTGCAGTAAAGTTGTAATTCCAGAGCATATCATCATTGGAAATACAATGTTTTGAGTTTGCAAGAATTTGACTAGACATTGAAGAAGACCATATGCAAATAGGCTCGGAACCATGAAACTAGCATACTCTCCAGCTTTCTTCGATATGTCATGATCTTGACCTAGAAGAAGTAGAATAGGTGTCGTGTTTACCCATATAATAGCAAGCGGTATGCTCACAATTACAAGAATAAGCATAGCTCTTTGCATGTGTATGCCCAGCATAAAATACTGCTTTGCCCCATATGACTGTCCGCAAAGGGTATCCAAGGCAGTTGCCATTCCCAACTATGCAAAAGAATAACACAAAGTAAGAATGAGCGGTCACAAGTTTTTTTTTTTACGTTCCAAATTGTAAAAGTCCACCACGCACCTACAAAGTATGACTGTCCTACAAGGCATCTTTTTATGATATTTAATACTGTCAAGATTTGAACCTTACTTATAAAAATTAAGAGTCTAACACTCTATCAATGGGTCGCTTAGCTGTTGGCGTTATACTACTAAATCTTATTTCTGAATTTTTCTTAGTAGGGGTGAGTAATCAATTAGTTCGATCGGTTCGATTTGAAAAAATTAATAATCGATTTAATCGATTTTCATTTAATAAATAACTGAATCGACTGAATATTATTCAATAATCGATTATAACCAAATCGACCAAAATCAGTTTGGTTTGATCAATTTGGTTAAATAATTAATTTTTTTATCATTTTTCTTCATATTATGAATAATTATTTAACCATAAATTCAATTCAATAAAATTCAAATTCAAGTATCATTCAAACTAAATAACTAAAGAATTTAATAATTTCAACAATATTTTATAAGAAAAAAATAAAAATATTTATCTCAATTTTTTTACTTTTACTTATTAGATAGTTGGTTAATTCGGCCAGTTCGATTATCAATTTTAAAAACAAAAAATCGATCAAATTAACCAATTTAACCGATTTAAAAAATCGATCATAACAAAAACAGAATAAACCGAACTGATTCAATTGAATTCACTCGATTTCGATCAATTTAATCGATTCAAACTGACTTTTGCTTACCTCTATTTCTTAGAATAGCCCACATCTTTGCAGAGAGACCATATTGTAAATAAACAATGGGCTGCTAATCCACTGGAGAACTAGAATCTGTTTAATTAGCTTGAAATTATAATCTGCTTATGTTACATTAAGATTTCTAAGTAGGGAAAAGAGTTGGTTGTTTTGATATTTTTCTGCTTCGTTCATTTGATCTTAACAATATCTTCTATTTTATCCCCGGCTCTAATTGCTTAGAATAAGCCTGACTTGAAAAATAGTCTTTTGCCTATCATTATTTATGGATCCTCTTGCATTTCATCAAAATAGACAGAAATTGTATTCTTTGCTCAAGATTAAGACTTCTTGCAAAGAAAAAAAATCTAGCGCATGTTACTAAATGGCTGGAGGTGGAAGAGATCATCTAGTCATCTTAAATAACATGATACAGCAAACAGATATAAGCAAAGGGAGCTTTTTTTTTTTTTGATTTTTTTTAAGGTTCTATCTTGATTCCAAGCTATTTTATATAGAGAGACAGTAGCAAGGAACATCATGGATCTCCATGTTTGTTAAAATTAAACATGATAATTTTAAATATGAAATCAAAACGATACAAAAAATACTTAAAAATGATTAGATTAACTGAATCTGTTTTCAAAAGTTAAAAGAAAAAAAAAGTTTTGTGTTTAGCGTATAATATAAATTTAACATAATAATTTTTATATTTTACACGAAAAAAATTTCATATGAATGATGAAAAGAGGATCAAGAAACTCTTTGAAGGGTTGAGTCATTCATTAGTCGTTATTTCTAATTTAACCGAAAGAAAAAAGAAATCAAAATTTGGCTTCTCCACTGACTCCTAAGCATTTTCCAATACAAATAAGAAATTATACATAAATATATATATATATATATATATTTATATATGTAGATATCAACTTTTGTTTAGGTTAATGATTTTGCTTTTCAAATTAATTATCTTTCAGGCTTATATTCAAATTTCCATCAAATCGATTTAATATCAATTTTTTGTGCCATGCAATCAAGTTAGAAGGGTTCAAATTAAGTCTAAAATATTGGACCACAGTGCATTGTTATTTGCATGAGTCAATAAAGACTTAAAATTTTAAGGTTCAAATTAGTTGGGTTTGAAAGCCCAAGGTCCAATTTTCATATTTAAAGCTCAAACTTATTTTATTTAAATTAGTCAAGTTTTAACTTGGAAAATCTAATTAAAAAGAGAAAGGTGCTAAATGCATCTCCATTTTTCCCTTCCCACTCTAGCTTTTTTTTTTTTTTTTTTTTTTAAATTTTTATAATTAAAATTATTTAATTATCCTTCTCACAACTTTATAAAATTTTATAATATTTCAAAAATTAATTTCTAAAATAGTTATATAATTTTTTGAAATTAAATTTTTTAAAAGTCATAAACCTTTTTGAAAATTTATTTTTAAAATATAATTTTTTGAAAATTCATTTTCAAAAAATGAGATAGTAAAAATTTTAGTTAAAATGTTTTTTCAAATTTTACTATCTCACCTCTTGAAAATAAATTTTCAAAAAAATTTATAATATTTCAAAATTTTATTTTTGAAAAGTTACATAATTTTTTGAAAATTATTTTCGGAAAGATTCATGATTTTTCGAAAATTTATTTTTAAAAACTTGGGTGAAGATGAAAGGATAATTAAATAATTTTACTTATAAAAAATTAAAAAAAATTGAGATATGAAGAGAAATAACAAGGGTGCATTTCTCTTAAAAAATCAAATTAAAACATAAAAAAAAAATAAAAAAAAGAAACGGTCTGCAAATTAGCACACAACACCACCAAAGGGCTGCTGGCCCTCCTTTGCCAAGCCATACTACTAGCCACCCTACCGTGCAATTTCCAGCACCCTAGCGGCCCTATCTTGCTCTGTCTAGCCACCATTGCAGCAAAAATTGAGTTGCCAATAACCTTCCTTTTTACACCCTAGATTTCCATCTATATTCACTGGATTTTCCATGAAACCAAAATTTGAAAAAGGTCTATAAAACTAAGCCAAAAAATCAAGCAACAGGAGGCTAATTTTGGGAAGAACAAAATCTTGAAGAGGAACACTACCAAAAACAAACATATTCCTTACCACCCTCGGCAACAATGTCACTGCCTCTCCATTACCAACCATCCTCAAGCTCACCACCACCAGCTTACATCCCACAATCAATGATCCAAATAATAAAACCCATCCCTGATAGCCCCAATCAAACCCTCAGCCAAGCAACCCTTAAATTCCCCACACTTACGACCTTAGCTCATCTCCACCATACCCACCAGACAACAACCCAAAACTCAAAAAAAAAAAAAAAAAACAAATAAACTAAAAAACACACACCCCAAGATAAAAAAAAATCTTCATTCCCTAGGGAAGCCGTAGAAAACAAGCAAAAAACAAAAAAAATTGAAATCACCAAAACGAAGGGAGTGGGGCTTCAGTTTGGGGTGTTTTGAAAGGTTTCGAGGCTCTTTTTATAGTTAGAAGGAATGTTTCGACCATGGAAGGCATTAGTCTCAGGTGGCAGCGGTGTGTCCGATGGTAGAAGCCTTTTTGGGGTTTGCAATCGAAAGTTTTTGGCTTATATCTAGAGCTTTAGAGGTTGATTTTGGGAAAACTAAGTCGAAACAAAGATCAGGAAGTTGAAAAGAGAATGTTGGTGTATTTTGGGGCAAACTGACATCGGCGATGGTAAGTGGCGGAGGCCAGTGGTAGCAATCTTTTTAAAGAGAGAAACTCTCTTTTTTAGAGAGAAAGGACATAAAAAATGAAGGTAAGAATTTTTTCTGACTTTTATAGTCTGAAAAAAAAAAGTTTCCTGCAAACATGCACATGAACTTAATCCAACACGGGCCTATGCATCGGACTTGGCTCTTGCCTCTATCAAAAGTCATGAACTAGTTTGACTAAATCGAGTTACACTGCCAGAAAATTGTCCAAAATCACAGAAAATCAATCTAATTGAACTGCCGATGAACTGTTATGAATCGTTGACCGACTTTGATTGATTTTTGGGGAATAATTTTTTAATTTTTGATTTTTTAATATTTTTCTGAGTTATTTACGTGTTTATCTTTACATGATTAAATTATAAAATTTTAAATTAAATATATATTTAAAAAATAATCTAAAAAATAAAATTCCTTAGAAGATAAAATATTAAAAAAATTAGTATAGTGATTTTTTAAAAATCTTTATGTAATATTATTTCTTAAATATTATCAAAATACTAGAGTATTTACAAATCTAGTCGATACAAAAATGTTTTTATTTACTTATTATTTTTTAAATTAAAAAAAGATAATAATAAAATAAAAGATTTTTTTAAAACAAGGTTATATATAATAATGTATGAATATTAATTGTATTAATTAATTAAAAATATAAGACTATGAAATTTTAAAAATTAGAGTTGTGAATTTTAAGAAATTTTTATGTGATAAAAATTCTTTTAATGTTATTAATGTATTGAAATATTTTATAGGTTTTTCAACAATAAGTTTTAATTTATTTTTCAAATAAAAATGAAACAATAATTTTTTCATAATAATAAAAAAGAAAAGATTTTGTGAAAAAAATAAAAAATAAGATAATAATAAAGACCAAAATTATGAAAAAAAGTGGTTAAGGAAAATTTTTAAATATAAAAATTAAGATATTTCGTTAGAATTAAAAGATAACTTATAATTAATTGTTACCATTCTTAAAACGAACGTCATGTGAGTGTTAATAATTTTTCACGTATGATTATACTTTCAAACTCAAATTATTTTCATAAACTTGAACAATATCTTTTCAATAAAATTTATTTATTTTAAAATTTTATTAAGTGATCAATCGTATTTAATTAATAATAAAATTTATTTAATAATTTTAAAACCATATCACAATAAATATATATATATATATTTATATTGACATACTGGTTAGATATCAAATGAGTTTTATAAGAAACATTCCAGATATAGATTAACAAACAAATAAGTAGCATTTTTTTTTTTTTTTTTTTTTATGTTGGCTAGGTTGGATTAATCATTTTCAACCTGTTACTCCTCTCCACAAGTTCATTTTTCTTGTTGCAACTCTGGTATAGACAAGTTAATAATTGAACAAATAAATTTACCAAAAAAAGCACATATAAGAATTAATATGCAAAAAGATAACAACCAATAAAAAATACATAGATTTATGTGGCTTGGCACAAAGCTTCTATGTTTATGGACGACATATGCTAAGAAATTTCTACAATAATTAAAGTAAGATGAAGATTACAAAATATTTTCTTTTAGAATTAAGATTAAGTTAAAAGTAATTAATATTAGAAGCCAAATCAAGCCTCACTCAAACCTTTCGTTTAAGTTCCTGGGCACGATGAACCCTTCGGCTCGTGAATAAATAAATCTGCTTTTCATAAACTCCATTTACTAGGGACAAGCCAAAGCATAAAAAAGAAAAGAGTTGTTAGCATTTGTGAACTTTAAATTTTATTTTAATTTTTAAAAAATTTTAATTCAATTTATAATTGTTTAAAGTTACCTCACTTTGATTCTTATGTTTATAAAATTGTCTAAATTAATGGTCAAATTTCAACTGACATCTCATGTAACAAATGAAGTGATCAAAATTAAATATTATTCAAAATTTAAGGATTAAAGATATTATTATCTTAAATTCTTTTATACTTTAGATATATTTTATAAAATATTAAAATTTAAAATAATAATTTTTATATTTCATTGTAATATAATTTATTACATAAATATTTTTGTTTTAAATAGAAAATAGATTTAAAAAAATTAAAATTAAGTTAAAGATTTCAAAATCTTGTTTATAAAAATTCCTTATCATTTTAAAAACAAAAAAAATCTATTTTTCTATTATAAATATTATTTTACTAATAAATCATAATAGTATATTATTTTTATTCAATAAAATATTTTCTATTAAAAATATTAAATATCTTTTCTTTTTCTTTTTTCAAATATATTTTATAAAATTTCTTTTATAACGAAGATAAAAGGAAAAACAATAAAAATAAAAATAATGAAAAAATTGATATTTTATATTTCAAAAAATTATAATTTAAATTTTTTAATTTTTATTATGATATGATTTATTAGTTAAATAATATTTTTTAGCAAAAATAAAATTGAAAAAATTTAAAATTAAGTTAAAAAATTTAAAATTCTTTTTAAAAATTTCCATATTATCTTAAAAAGTTAAGTAAAAATTTTTATATCGATTTAAAAAATTAAATAAAAAATTACATACCATTTAAAAATATTAAATAAAATTTTTCTTATCATTTTAAAAATAGATTTAGTACTATATTAGAAAACCTATTTTTCTCTCAAAAAATATCTATTTTAAATCTAGTTTTCTTAAAAATTTTATATTTATATAAAACAAAAGTATTATTTTTAATAACCCAATTTATTACCTTTATCTGATCTGCAGTGGTAAGGGTTGTTTTGATTGTTTATTTTTTTATTTTTGAAGATATAAATTTTTAATAAAAATAAAATTTTTAACTTAATTTTAATTTTTCATAATCTAATTTCTATTAAAATAAAAAAATATTAACTAATAAATTATATTATAATAAAAATAAAATAAATTATTTTAAATTTAATATTTTATAAATATATCTTAAATATAAAAAATTTAAGATAAGAGCATTTTTGGTTTTTAAATTTTGAACGAAATTTTATTTTACTCCATTTTTTTATTACGAGAGATGTCAACTGATGTCATTCATGTTATATTAGTTGATATTATTTTCAAGACAATTCTATAGATGAAAGGTTTAAAATTAAATAATTTTGAGTAATTAGAGATTTAATTAAAATTTTTTAAAATAAAAAATAAAAAATATAAATCAAAATTTAAAAATTACATGTACTATATTAATTAATAATAATAAAAAAAACTCATTCATCAAAAAGTCAACAGAATGACGGATGATTTCGGCCAGAACAGACAAATCCTCGTGTACATAGGTGAATACAACGTTTACGGATTGAGTATGTCCTATGATTTGTATATTTATATTTATCTATTTTTTATATATCATGCATAAAATATAAAAAATTATTATATTAAAATTTATATTCACAGATGAAAAATAAAAAATATTTTTTGTTTTTACTAAAATACTTATAGAAGTTTTATAAAATTTATAAATTGTATATTTTTCTATTGTATTTTTGTATCTATAAAATTACTCAATCTATATTCAAACTAATTTGATTAACACTTTTAAAAATTTGTTTAAAGTTTGATTCAATTCCTTTATTTAATTTTATATATTAAAATATTAAAAAAATTATTTTAATTTTTTAATATTTTTAAATTTCTTATAAAATTAAAAAATAAATAAAATGGTTATTTAATGATTAAATATTTTATGAACCAGGCCAAATTTGAAAAATCTTATTAAAAAATGCGGGCCACCAGACTGTAAACATACAAAAACATATATATATATATATATATATATATATATATATATATATAGACCGAGATAGAAGACATCAAGTACACAAATCCTTCATGTTTTCGCAATCTCAAAGAAATCAAAAAGAAAAACTAAACCATAAAAGAGAAGACAAACTCATGCATAGCAGAAGAAGGAAACGTTTAACTTAATTATAAACCAAAGTATATATACTGACCAGCAAGCTGAAACCAGTAACTGTTGCAAAGGAATTGGCCATTGACGCACCAGACAGAGCTAGCTGATCACCAAGATGACCAACGAACATCACCGATATCATCTGTAGACAATACTGGAATAGACTCACTGCTATTAGAGGCCCTGCTAGCCATAGCTGTTTCTTCACTTCATCAAAAACTTTCTTTCTTCCCTCTGCTCTGTTGCTTACTAGTCTATAATCGTCATTTTGATCTCCGGATATCTGAATCAAAGGTGAAGTTAGGGAGGAGTTTTTCTCTTCTCTCTCCATAGTCTTTTGAGTAACTGATAAGAAGATGATGGGGTTGGGATGTTCCATTTAATTATTATCAAGTGTTCATAATAGTTAATTTTATTTTAAGATATTTTTCCAGGACTTTGACATGTCCTTTTAGACGCTACAGTCCAAGCATTTATGCTTATCAATAATTTACGTTAGGACAACACTAGTAAATAGTAATAAACTAAATGCTAATTATTATGGGTTTTGATTTAAAAAGAATAATAATCTATGATTTCGTATTATTTATAATCTATATGATTGAGTTTTGGCGGGACTCTTTAATTAGTCTTTGATGTCATTTTTTAAAATTATCGTAAAGTTTAATTACGAAAGTGATGTTGTTATTTATGATTTAAAATCATTTAATTGGATCAATAATTATTAATTTTTAAAAATAAAAGATCATTATTTTTATATTATTAAAAATTAAATATTATTTATTTAAAATTATTAAAATAATTATATTATAATAATTACACAATTTAATAATTTTAATGTTGTTTAAACATAATAATTTGTAAAATATTAATAGTACTTTTATTAACTTCTTAATAATATATAACTAAATTATTTAATTAACAAATATATTTATTAATAGGTAAACTAACTTTTACAATATAAATTATGTAAAAGAATATTTGAATTAAAAAATAAAACTAAATCTATTAAAATCATAACAAAATAAAAATAAAAATAAAATATATATAGCATCAAATAAAGTTAAAAAAACATACAAATTATTTTTAAATTTGGTAGAATAAATATTATTTTAAAAATTTGAAAACTAATAATATAAAATAATTATAATTTTGAAAAGAAACAAAATTTTAATTTATACATTAAATGATTACTATTAATTATAATTAATTTTCTAATTTATTTTATCTTGATTATAAAAATTTCTCACTATTTTGGATTATTAAAGGCAGATCCATCACATGCAAATTGAAGCCCACTCTTTTACATGCAAAATTCTCACCCCATCAGCCTATGCCACCTTTCCGTGGAATTAAATTTACAAAGGTGGAAACACAACGATGTTCCACCGGTAGAAGAAAGAAAAAATTATTATAAAAATAAAAGTGATGGAAGAAAGGGGCATTCCTATTTTTTTAAGAGGGTATAATTATTTTATCCTTAAAAGATAAAGAGTGATTGTATTATTTTTATTATTTCTTTTGGTGAAATTCATCCTATACTTGTCTAATGGACGTAATCAAAATTTGGTGAACAATTTAAATTCCAATGTTTTCATTTTTATTTATTATTCTTTTTAATTCTTATTTTAGCCGCGCGTTTTCGCTTCCCTAAAGGCATTTAATTCCCAACAAAAACAAAAGCAGTCTTCAAACAAATGGCTGTTTCATATGTATTTGTTGTGTATGTCACGAAACTCATTTCAACATCTTCGCAAGACATTAAGAATGATTTGCTCATGTTTTACCCACCTTAATTTGTGAAGATGATTCTCTTGATGTTATTAGGTTGAATTATCCAAATACTACAGGGGTTTTGGTTTTAGTAGCTTTTTTTAACATTTAATAGCGTTTATAAATGCCATTAAAAGATTTACGGCATTTGTGAAAAATGTCAGTTAGAATGCTGGCTATACACGCGTCTCAAAAAATAGCGATGTTTTAAAAAAATACCTTAATATTAGGGACATTTATATTTGAAACGTTATCATTTTAGCGGCATTTCTATCTTTGAGACATCACTAAATTAGTAGCATTTTTATGAGAAAAACGCTGTTGCTTTGGTGGCTTTTGTAATTATAAATGCTGCTACTTTAGAGACGTTTGTATTTGAAACACCTCTATATTAGTTACGTTTGTATCTTTGAGACGTCGCTAATTTAGTGGTGTTTTTATGAGAAAAACGCCGTTATTTTGGTGATGTTTGTATAAAAAGAAATGTCACTTAACTAGCGACGTTTACTAGTAAGAGCACTGTTACTTTTAGTGGCATTTTATGATACAAACGCTACTAAATTATTCATTTAGCGAATTCTTGAATGCAAATGCTGTCATTATGTAAAAATGTATTTTTTTAAATTTATGTTAATAATTTTTATTTTCATAAAAAAGCTTAAATTCAGAAACTAAATTAATATAAACTTAATTCATGTTTAAATATGCATCTAACTAATATAAAGTTTAATAATTAGTATAATAACATTCAAATATTTTTAATACATTAATAAAATAAAAATCAAAATGTATGAAATGGATGACTGCATATATTTTGCTGGCTACCAATTGATGAAGACAAATTTTTACCTTGGTCACTAGCGTGGTCAAGAACCTACTAAATAATACCATATAATTTTTAATACTTCATTGCAAACTTTTTTAATATGTAAAAATTTAAATATTTACTAAATATAATACCTAAGTTGGAAGAGCACCAAAATAATTTTCTGAAAATTATTGTTGCACAAAATTCATAAGATGATCGGATCAATCATGCAACTGCTAAAATTTTGCACGCTCTTGCTCCATTCTAGCACGTTCTTCATCAATTTTGGCACGCTTCTGTTCTCTTTCTGCTTCCATTTGCTGAAAATGTTGTTACATAGTTTGCAACTCCTCTTTTCAATATTGAAATATCTTGCGAAGATTGACTTGCTGAAATTGTAAATTGCTGAGAGCTATGTCCGTAATAGGCGGATAGTGTTGGACCCAATCCAAGGCCTCGGACCTGTCCATGCCTTTTTTTTTCTAGCAACTTCTATGTATATCCGATTTTTTATTTCTTGCATATTGAGAGAACTATCAGATGCTACTTCAATCTTAGCAGCCATTTCTCTTTCGCTTTTTCCTGTATACAACTATCAAGTTTAATGATTAATTGATAATATGTTAAAAAGAGTAAATATTTACTTTATGTTAAAATAGATATTACAAATTATCACAATTTCTTGTGTTTTGACATTCATGTAAGATTTGCCTTTTTTTGTGTGTGTTATGCGAAAATGTTCACACGTCTAATTTTACCACCCATCTCATTCTCCTATACAAAAATATATGTTATTTGATAGGATACATATCAACTGCAACTTATTCATGCATATCAAGCCTATCAATCAAGTATCAAAATTTCAAATAATTTAAATATCATGTATTTATATTTTGGCCCTTTAACAACATAATAGTCTTAAACATACGGAAATAATAAAAGCATTTTAGGCTTTCACACATATCGATCATGGAAACTAAATTCAATTATTTGGACAAGTTTAATATCATGGATTGAAGCCATTCAATATGTTGAAAGCCATCCAAAATTTTAATTTGTATATTTGCCTTTTATATGCAAAAATAGTCCTAAATAGACATAAATGACAACTTTTTCTCTCATATCAACTATAGAAATCAAGTTCAATCAATTGGAACAAGTTTAATATAAAGTATTGAAGCTATTCAAACTGTTAAAATGCAACAATAACAACAAATTTATATTTTTACCTAAATATACATAAACAATAACTTTTTCATACATATCATCCGTGTCAACTAAGTTTAAAACTTTCGATAAGTTTAATATCCTGTATTGAAACTATCAAAACTATTAAAATAGAACAATAACTGTTAATTTGCATATTTACCTTTTAACGGCACAAAAAGTTCATTCATTGGAATAAGTTTAAAATCATAAACTTACTATTTCTTTTTGCTTTCTTGCAAAACTTTTTGATCCACTTGTGTGGCTATATTTCTGTTGCTTTCTCTACCAATCCTAATCTGTTCTTTTTCCTGTCATAAAAAATAATTACGTATATGATAGAAATACAAATATGACCAATTTAAACCATAAAACATTTCATCATTTTATTCTACTATACAAAGTTATAAACTAGTACTCTCTTTTTCTTGAAAACCAAAATCTAACTAATTGTCCATATTGTCACCTAATTACATTATGGAGTAGATTTTCCATCATCACCTTTACAGTAGTATTTTGATTGAAATACTTATTCTTCGAACTATGCTTATAATCTTTCCATTTCTTTTCCAATGACTTAAGCATAAATGAAGTTGGTATTTCAAGTATAAATCTTGACTGTAATAATACAATAAAAAAGTTTGAATAAGTAAATAAAATGTAAAATTTTTTTTATATGTAATTAATTATACTAATACCTCAATAAAGTTTAAAGCATTGGCCTTAACTTCTTCTGGAACTTTATGCCATGTTTCATAATGAATAGGCAATTTCATTCCCTTATGGGCTAGCATGCCTATAAATCCAGCCAACAGTTGAGTCTCTTCACTAATTGGTTGCCTATCAGAGTTTGTAGACACTATAATACACTCGTTAGAAGGTATTGCAAACAATTCCTTCAAAGTTGTCTGGCCTCTGGTCCTCCGTTGACTATTGTTATCAACTGCAACAAAAAAAAATAAATTTGTAAAATTGGGGTATATCATAACTGCATTCAAATTTAAAGCATAATCAATTGATGGGATACTATTTAAACCTGGATCTCTTATATTGTCAGATCTAATATCAGTTGAAAGGTTAGAAGTGATGGAGTTACATCCAACAATACGTTCATTTCCCTCTAAAAGATTTAGCCCATAGCCAATATCAATAGGTGCTACAGACGATTTTGAACTAATATCTCTGATATGTATTCTTTTTCACCTACTTCCTCTGCATTGTAACTTACCTGCATCATAAAAGTGAATATAGAAAAGACATTAGTTTAGAACATATATAAAGACAATGAGAGGTTAAGAAATCAAAACCTTACGATATATAAAGAACATATCGATTTAATTAAATCAAAAGATAGTGTATGATTTAGAATACAATAATTATACAATAATTATACAATAACGATGTGACATTAATTACATATAATTATTTACTACATTATGTCTTAAACGTTCGAATTACAAATTATAGATGCACTATTTCATTGTTCATAAATGTTTTCAGTAACATCTTCGCGGACACATTGAGCGTAGGTACTAGAGATATTTT